TACACTTTAGGTAAACTTGAACTTGAGCTGTTTTCATGGGTCCTATATAAACTTCATAGCCAACACGCCTGCTACATATGATTAGTCCTACGCCACTGTGCTGGTTACATAGACTGGTGCCAACCTGAGGATTAAGAGCGTAGGAGTGGAGTCTAGCCTGTCAACAATCGTATAGCCAATGAGGCCTCTGTGTGGGCATGGCCTTCTCCTGAGGAGTTCCTGGGAACTCCTCAATTTCCTCTTTGGAGGCAGGAGACACGTTCTCTCTTGGCCCACTCCCTGTGAGACATTTCTGAGGAGAAGCCACATGAAGCTACTTTGAGGCAGTCAGAGTTTTGAGTTGAAGGAACCCCATGGAGACCCCTGCCAGTGCTGAGATGCTCACAATGCCGCTGGATCCACAAGACTCCCCCCTCCCCCCCACTGACCTGTGATCTTCCTGCATTCAGCGCCATTGCCTGTGTTTTGTGAGTCTGAAGAGGACTTTATAGATTGGTATCAGACGTAGGGGCTAATATCGGACTGATGGACTTGATCTGGACTGGGCTGGCATGTTTTCTCAATATATAACTGCTCTTACATGTAATCCTCTTTCTCATACACATATGAATGTTTATGAACTTGTCTCTCTAGTCCTCCCGGACTGACACAGCCACATCCTGCTAGTGAGGTCCCATGGGTCCATGTGGAGGGAGAGCGAAGAGCTCTCTTTTAGGAAGACAGACTGGTGGAAGGGAAAGCGCCGGAGATGGAGGTTAACCAGCACACGCGAGACCTTTTTGGATCAGGGCCTCTGTTGAGAATAACAGGTTCGGCCACAGGGCTGGATCTACCTTTTTGAGAGGGCTATCTGGTCTATGAGCTTTGGTAGAGCCCTACTTTGTGCAAGTCACTGTGTTGAGGATGGGAAGCAGATGGAGATGAGTAAGATAAGGCCCTGCCCTTTGTGCAACCACACTGCAATTTGAAAGGCGAGCCATAGATCCTGTTAAAGAGACTTCCAGTATACCACCCTAGATGTCATGATCGAGAGCAAGTGGGTTGGGCCCACTACAGTATATGACTTGGACAGATTCATTACGTCCTAAGCCTTAGTTGCTACATCTGTGAAATGAAGGCATTCATAGCACCTCATAATATTATACTATGAAATTATCATGTAAGAGGGGCTTTGAAAAGTTCACAGAAAAATGAAACCAAAAGATAATGGACGTTTTCCACCCCCTGAAGCCCATCTCAGTTTTCCATACGTCATAGTGCTGTACGTGCCCAGAAGAGGGATGATCATTGAAATCATCAATAAGGCTTCAGGAACATGCCCCCCATGGCCGAAGCCTTACTTTCCAGGTCTCTCTGAGCCCCTTCAGTGGGGCTTCATGCGCACCAGCTCCTCAAGGGGCGGCCATCAAGGACGCTTCCAGACTTTCTAGCTTGTAGCTTTGCTCCATGCTTCAGTCCTGTAGACTGCCTTTACCTTCTTGATGCCTATTGTTCCCTCATCTCTGAATTGCTCCGCTCTGCCTTCCCACCTGGCCCCCTCCACCGCCCTTCTTACTTCTACTGCCCCTTAGAGGTAAGCGCTGGCTGCTGAGGTTCTTCCTCTTAGAATCGTCTACACACTGCCTCCTTTTTTAAAATTTTTTTTTAACATTTTATTAGGGGCTCATACAACTGTTATCCCAATCCATACACACATCAATTGTGTAAAGCGCATTTGTACATCGTTTCTCAATACATTTTCTCTCCATTTAAACCCCCGAAATCAGGTCCTCATTTTTCCCCTCCCTCCCCGCTCCCCCCTCCCTCATGAGCCCTTGATAGTTTATAAATGGGTATTTTGTCATATCTTGCCCTGTCCGATGTCTCCCTTCATTCACTTTTCGGTTGTCTGTCCCCCAGGGAGGAGGTCACACACAGTTCCATGTAATCGGTTCCCTCTTTCCTACCCATTCTCCCTTTACCCTCCCTGTTTTGCCACTCACACCACTGGTCCTATAGGGCTCATCCGTCCTGGAATCCCTGTATTTTCAGTTCCTATCTGTACCAGTGTACCTCCTCTGGTCTAGCCAGTCTTGCAAGATAGAATTCGAGTCATGGTAGTGGGAGCGGGGAGGAAACCTTTAGGAACTAGAGGAAAGTTGTATTTCTCATCATTGTTACATCGCACCCTGACTGGCTCATCTCCTCCCCGAGACCCCTCTGCAAGGGGATCTCCAGTGGCCTACTAATGGGCTTTGGATCTCCACTCCGCACTCCCCCCATCATTCACTATGGTAAGATTTTTTGTTCTGATCATGCCTTACACCTGATCCCTTCGACACCTCGTGGTTGCATAGGCTGGTGTGCTTCTTTCATGTGGGCTTTGTTGCTTCTGAGCTAGATGGCCGCTTGATTACCTTCAAGCCTTTAAGACCCCAGACGCTATACTTTTTGATAGCCGGGCACCATCAGCTTTCTTCACCACATTTGCTTATGCACCCATTTGTCTTCAGTGATCCGTTCGACACCCCCACACTGCCTCCTTTATATTCACACCTTTACTTTCCAAGTCCGTGTCCCCAGCTCTCTTTTCTATTCGAACTACCTTTTATCCATTTATTCACCAAGTATGGAAAGCCTCCTACATGCTGAGCTAGCAAATCCTCTGCCCCATGGGGATTCCACCACAGCCCTGGAGACTCACTAAGCCACCAGTCACACCATGAAGGACTGACTTACAATCATGACCAGGGTGACAGGAGAAGTGACCACCTGGGGGGCTGATTTAATTCTTCTGCATGGTCAAGGGAGGCACCTTGGAAGAACTAGGAATTGAGCTGAACCCTCTCAGGTGAGATAGGAAGTAGATAGGAAGAGATTCAAAAGGAGGAGAGGAATGGAAGGGATTCTAGGCAGAGAGGGCCCCTGGACCAAGGCCCTGGGTCACAAATGAGTGGGAAGATTGGAAGCTGGGAGAACAGCTCCAGAGTCCTTCGTGGGCTGCAGGGAAGGTCATGGGGAGAGTGGTATGAAGTGAGGGCCTGCCTTCTAGCACAGGACAACACTGTGAATCCATCCAAAGGGCAGCAGGGGGTCGCTGCAAGTCTGCAGGCAGGAGCAGAGTGTGAGCATGCTTGGACTTCTCTGGCTGCTGCGTGGACAACGGTGGGCAACGAGGTTGAGGTTAGGAAGCTGCTGCGGGACCCTGAGTGATTATGATGATTCGGAGGAGGGGCATGGCAGCAGAATTAAAGTAATCACATTCTAGAACTATTTACGAGGGGAAGTCTCCAGGGTTTAGAAATAAGTTACATGAAGGAGTGAGGAGAAGAGGATTACTGGGCTTTACTTTTGGCTGCTAACTGCAAAGTCAGCAGTTCAAAACCACCAGCTGCTCTGAGGGAGAAAGAGAAGGTTTTTGCTCCCATGAAGAGTTACAGCCTCCAAAATCCACAGGGATAGTTCTACCCTGTCCTGTAGGATCCCTTTGACTCGATGGCAGTGGATCTGCCTTAGGTTTGGCAGGATCACCGAGCCCGTAAGGCACTTGCGGGGGAGCAGGTGGAGGCAGGCCATGTGGATTTCCTTTCTTGCAGGTACGTGTGTAGGAGGTGACTCCGAGGGTGACGAGTGGAGTAAGAGGTTAAGTGTGCAGAGCTCGGAAGACCATCTGGAGTGGAGATGCAGGTGCGGGACTAATCAGCGTTGGGGTTCACCTAGGAGAAAAGGTACTGAATGAGAACAGGTTGGGGCCTTCGGGAAAGGGGGAGTGAGCAGAAAGCTAGGAGGAAAATCCGCGTATGGAGTCCCAACAGAGAGAGAACAGAGCGTTAGAGGGAAGGAGAGGGCATCCCAGACAAGAATTTCAGAGAGGCCAGGTGAGACGAGGCCTGGACAGTGCCTTGTGGGGACACAGGTGTCCGGGTACAAACATAGAGGTCACCTGCTGCCTTAGTGAGAGTCAGCTGATGAGCACAGAGGAGCAGAATTGGGTTAAGGAGTGTGTGTGTGTGTGTGTGTGTGTGTGTGTGTGTGTGTGGAAACTGAGGCAGAATGTGGAAAAGAATGAGTCAGTGGAGGTGAAAGATACTTGAAAAAATATCTTAGAAGAGTCTACAGAAAGGGAAGATTCAAGAAAGAGACAGGAGACATGGGAGTAACTGACTGAGGTTTCCACCTGGCAGCCAGTGGACTCGGAGAGCAGGTGGGCCTGCCCCTAACCATGTATCAAGAGGAAGGAGGCCAGGAGGGGAGGTGCCAGTGTATGTGCACAGGAGACCCGGTTTAAAAGTCCCGAGTAGACAACCGTGAGTGTTTGCATGTAAAGTAAGGTAGTCGCCCAGTTTTCCATGGGGAGAGAGCTTGGCAGCACGTATCTCCTGGCATACATCAATAGATCGATAGAGATCAATAGATGAGTGGTGTATTCAGAGTTAAGCTGCAGAGAATGGCCTTGGAGGGTGGTGGTGGGAGGAAGGTGGAGTGGAAGAGGCACTCAGAGCGAAGATAGGGGAGTGAATGAAAGCATGAAGGGGGAAAGGGTTAGGGCAAGAGGAACGACTGGTTTGGCCGGGATTGAGTCCACCAAGGAGGACCCTAAGCGGCGGGCCTGATAAGGGGGAAGCAAATGAGGTTCAGGGCTCAGGAAGGCGTGGGCCTTTGGAGCCCAGTCCCCTCCAAGGGCAGCGACCCTGGGCAAGGGCTCCCGGGCCTGGATTCCCTGTCCATAGACCCCGAGACCGCTCTGAGGCACCTACTTCACTCGCTCCCTCTGCCTGCCCACCCCCTCTGCCTGCGTCGGCCATTAGAGCCTCCTTCGCAGCCCCGGAGCTTCGCATTGACGCGGGCCCGCGCGTGAGTCAAGCCTGCGTCACGGCGCCCCGCCGCCAGGGTGGCCTTTCGGAAAGCGAGGGAACAGCGCGCGCCGCGCTCCGCCCAGCTCCGTTCCGCTCCGCAGAGCCGGCGCGGCCAGAGCACTGGGCGGGCTCCGTTCGACCCTGTCGCTCGCAGCCCAGCAGCCTAGCGCGCTCCCTCCGCCGCGGGACCTGGGTTCCCAGGCTACTCCCCCGAGGCCTGAGCGCACGGCGGGCTGGAGCCGGGCCCGGACCCGCGGCGCGGGAGGGAGCGAGGAGCGAGCGGAGTCGCGTGCGCCAGCGCGCAGCTGCGGGGCGCTCGAAGCCCCCGCCGGGGCCCGTCGCTGCGGAACTCAGGCGGCCCGAGGGACGGTCTGTGCGCACTCGACCCGTCGGGGGCCGCAGCTGTTCTGTAGGAGTGCAAGGGGCTGAGTCCGCGCGACGGCCCACGAGGGACAGGTGAGTCGCCGGCCGCGCCCTGCTCAGCGGTAGCGGACCAGCCATCGCAACTTTGCCTTGGCCGGTCCCGCCCCAGCCCCGGAGGCCCAGCCTCCGTGGTGCGTGACAGCGCTACCCCTTCATCGTTCTGCCCGGGCGCCGGCCCGGGGCTTCTCCCGCCGCTCCAGCCCCTGTTGCTTGGCGACGGAGTCCTGGGTCTGGGCCCCGCGCTCCTCCGGCGCAGTAGAGGTGTCCAGCGCGGCGCGCGCGGTGTGGGCCCCGGGCTCTGGGTTGCGCGACTCGGAAGGGCCCGGGAACTCCGGAGGTAGTCGGGCAGGGCTGCAGAGGCGAGCGCCTACGGAGGACGGGCAGGAGGCCCGGCCAGTCCCTCTGCGCGCCCTGGGCGCAGATAGCACGGGCAGGCTTCCGGGAGGTTGGAGACCCAGGTCCCAGCCATCCGGTCTCAGGCCCATGACCTTGACCGTAACATTGACTGAAGAAGCCGTGCGCTCACACCCGGGATGAATATTTAATTATTCTTCCTGGGGCTGGTCCGTGCTTGATTCCGAACTAGCAGGAACCCTTCCTTCCTCGAGGGAAGCGCGCCTGGCGGAGGTGGGGGCCGTGCGCAGGGGTGCGGGATGGAGGGGCGCCGTCCTGAGAGGGAGGCTTCTCTGCCACATTTATACCTGTGCGCGCCAGTGCGCTGATGCGAGCTCTTGCAGTACTCCGGAGAGTACCGCTCCCCCAGGGGCGCGGCCGTCTTGGAAGAAAGCTGCTGTTTCCGTTTAAAGCACTAGCAGGCCAGGCAGGCTCCAAGTGTTCAGGAATCCTGAGGCCACGAAGTGTCCGTGACCCAGTCGCTGTCAGGTGGGTCATTTTGATATGATGGTGGCTGTTTGTAACCTTGGGATCCCTTTCCTCTTTGCATCTCCGTCAAATATTTTAATGAACCCTGTGGATAAGGAAATGTCTAACCAGAATTATCCTTGAGGTGATTACACTGTGAACATGAGGCAGATGGGTTCATGTGGTGGTGGTGGTGGGGAGGTGGGGGGGAGTGGGGAGTGGTGAATGGGGGTGGGGTGAGGGTGGGGAGTTGTGCAGGAAGGGTAGGGTCTTTTGCGCTCACTGATCTTGTTAACAAGGACTTCCAGGAAGTAGAAATCCCCAAATGGCTTCAAAATAGATTTGACCACAACTGTGGGTAGGACCTCTCTGTTGGGCTGTGCAGGGCGTGAGGGCTGATGCCTGCTGGGCGGGCAGGGGTGGGGGCAGTGTGTATAGAGATTAGTGATTACATCGTGCTTACATTATCCTGTGGCCCAGTGAGGTGTCCCTCTCACCTGGGCAGAAAGGGCTTTGAGGTCACACCTGGTGTCCTTGTCAGTGGTCCACTTGCAGAGGATCTGTCTCCTCTCTGCTGACTGCTCTCTGCTGGAGCAGCTGTGGCTAAGTAGGTGTTTGGATGTCAGCAAATCCCTCCGCTCAGCCCGGAGGTGACTCAAGGCGGGAGGCAAATCATGCCCACCAGCTCTAACTGAAGTGAGTCTGCTTTGGCCTGAGTCACATGCCTGAGCCATATGTCTGCCGTCTATTGAGTTGAATGGAGCTATTTAGCAGGACTCTGAGTGGGGATGCCCTGAACCGCAAGTCTTAGGGGTCACTGACCAGGGGTGAGCAAGTCCTCAGCGGTCCTGCCCCCCCCCCCCATTGGGAAGGTGACCGTGGTGAGCCTGAGCTGGAAGGAAAGAAGGCTGGTGTCCCTGTGATGGTGATCAGAAGAATTGGGTTCAGTGTTCTGCCAGGTGCCAGTGGGGTGACCTTGGGCAAATCACGTCACCTCCAGAGCCTCCGTTTCATCCCCTGTGAAACAGGGAGCCCTTCAGTACTTTCTCTGCAAGCTTGTTGTGAGCCAAGGGCTGGGCACACAGCAGTTGTTCAATCAGTGTTAGTTCCCTGCCTTTTTCCCCATGGGCCTTGACTAGAAGCGCTCTTTCTCCCCCGCCCCTGCTCCTGAGCGTGAGAAGAGTTGTGGCAGGACTTCCCCATCGATGGTGAAGGAATCTGCTTTCTGCTGACCTAATTCTCCCCATCCAGTCTCCTGCTTGAGACCCTGTGTGGGGAGGTCTGAGTGGTGAGAGCTGGTATAGACCAGGAGGGCAGGGTGGACAGGTGGACAGGACTGCGCTGGGGCTACTGGGTGCCCAGGGCTGCCTGCAAAGGCTTCAGGGCAAGCCTCAAGTAAAGGCCTTGACTTCTTGCTCAAGGTTTGGCCCCAACCTGCTGCATCTGCTGTGTGGCCTTCAGGGATCCCTGCCCTTCGATCAAGTGGAACGGGAAGCTGCCAGAGAGAGGAGGCTGGCCTTTCCTGGCGAGGAAAGGGAGGGAGGCTTTTGTCTCCTGCCTTTCCTCAAGACTCCTCAGTTGGCCCTTGCCCCTTGCTTCCATAGTGTGTCCAGACTTACTGCTGAGCTATAACGTGTGCGCCTCAAGAGTGAAGGGAAGAAGGGGATCCCCATGCAGTAAGAAAGAGGCCACTCTTGGGACCCAGTGGGGCCAGGGGCAAAGGCCGAGAAGAAACTGAGGTTGGGAACGATCCTGATCACATCTTGTGTCCCCTGAGTTGTTCCTGTGACCATCCATGTTGAACTTGTTCCTCAAGTGCAGCCTGCTACTTCCTTAATACCCCCCACAGGTGCGAGCGTGTCTGCAGGCTGGGTGTGGATGTCACAATGAATGCTTGAACTCTGGAGAGAATGCAGAGCCGGGAACCGTCAGGTCTTGGTCTCCAAGGAATCCGCTTTGGGCGAATTCTGGAGCTGATTACCCTGCCCACCCCCACCCCCCACCCATGAACTCAGATGAGGTCGATGTCACCATGTGATGTCACCTTTGGTTGGCACTGACAGGCTCTCAAGATGCACTTCCCCCTTCTTGCCCTGGACGCTTTCATCAGAACCCTCCAATGCTGTCCTTGCCTCGTGAAGACATCCCAAACAGAATGGCCAAGGTCAGCACCGGGATGCAGAATTGTCCTATCATTGCCTTCTTTCTATACTGCTGCCTTTCTATTGATAAAAGAAACATTAATTTCCAAGGAACTTGTGAATTTGGATGCAGTTAATTTACTTTTTTTTTAACCCTCTATAAATATAGACGAATGACTACTATCGTGTAACCACTGCTGTCTTTGATCAACATACAGAATAGTTCCATCACCCAAAACATGCCCTCCTCTCCTGCTTCCCCTTGGCAACCAAACCCCTCCCTACCACAGATCCATAATTCTCCCCATCTCCGTAGTCTTGCTCTTCCACGAGGTTCTATAAACGGAACCAGGTAATTTGAAACCTTGTGAGTGTTTGCTGTGGCTTAGCATAACACATCGGAGATTAACCCCTCTTGTCCAATGCTTGTTACTTTTTACTGCTGGGCCCTGTTCTAGTGTATGGCTGTATCACATCTTTCTTTTTTTTCTAAATCCTTTCACCAACCGAAGGACATTTGGGGCGGTTCCAGTTTGGGGCAATGCGGAATAAAGCGGATATGTTAAAAATTAAAATAAATAGAAAGAAATTAAGGAAGAGGCTGTCCTGACCCAGGCGATGCCAGTCAGTCTTTGAGTGTGTGTGCATGTGTGTGTGTAAGGTGTGAGTGCCCCCTGAAACCAGTGCCCATTGGATCTGGGGTTGAATTCTCAGGATGATGGAAAGAGAAAAGGATTCCTGTGAACCAGGCTCTCCTGGCCTGTGCGCCCTCTCGTCTCTCTGGTCCTGGCTTCCGCAGCAGGGCAGTCCGCCATTAATCCCTTGAGAGCTGCTAAGATAAGCTGGAGAATAGTTGAAAGGAAGATAGATGTGGTTTTTTCCTCTTAGAATCTGCTCTGAGTTATCACCTGCTTCCAGGCTCGGTTTGCAAGAGCGCTCAGCACCAGACATCTGGAGCAGCAGGATAGGATAAAGTCCCCAAGGCGTTCTTGTACACCAGCCTCCCAGGCTGCCCGAGCTCAGAAGTACAGCCACACGGGTCCACCTGAATTCCCTACGGGGATGTGTTTGGGTGGGATAGGTGCAGCGCTGGATGCCAGCAGCTCGCACTGTTTGGCAAGCAGTGATCATCTCCCGTTGTTGTCTCGGCTTCTGCAGGTGCCAAGTGCCTTGTTTAGGGCCCATCTCACTGAATCTGCCCCTCAGCCCCAGGAGACAAGTACTGCTATCTGCAGCTTCACAGATGTGGGAATCGAGGCTCAGGGACCTTAAACAGTTGGCTCAAGTTCACACAAGGAGGGAATGGCAATCTGAGAATTCGAACTCAGACCGACCAGATTCCAAAATCCATGCCTTTTGATACTATATGATAAGCCTCCATAACAGGTTCCTAAATGTTTGCTGGCAACCCCGGCACCTGCCCAAAGGAGGGTCCTGGATCCGTGGGCCCAGTTGTTTAAGCGAACACTTTGGCAAAGGGAGACATGAGCCTCTTTGGTCTTGGTAGTGCTGTTAGGTGCCTCCCAGTTCTTTCTGAGCCACAGCAGCTGCACAACAATCCTGCTGTGGGCCCGCCCCTTGTTGTAGCCGGCCCGGCAGCCCATCTCATGGAGGGTTGTCCTCTTTTTCACTGATGCCGTCCTTGACCAAACTCGATGCCCTTGTCCAGGGAATGCTCCCTCTTGATAACATGTCCGAGGTGCCTGAGACATGGTCGTCATCCTGGCTCTGAAGCAGCAATCTGGGCGCCTCTTCCGTGGGTCCACTGGTAGAGAACAAGCAGCCCCCAAAGTGCAGCGTTTGGGAGTGTGGGGTGTGGTTCTCGGTGGACTGGAATGTAGAAAAAGACCCACAGTGACATCTTGGGACATTATTGCCTTGCCCCTACCCTTTCCCCTCCTGACCGGTGCTGTCCCCACCCTCATTTCCTTAAAGTTGGTCTAAGTGGAGGTGGGGTGGGGGGGTGGGGTTGGTGCCTGCGGCCCTGAGGAAAATTTCGAGGCAGGTTGGATGTGGGTCTGAGCATTTCCG